ATATTATATATATATATATATATTTTTTTTTTACAATAATGTTACATTATATAGATAATATTCTGACATTTTAGTCATCTCATATTGTTACACTTTCATGTAAATATTACAATTTTTTAAGGTCTACACTTGACCTCTCTTACCTTTTTGGAAATATGACTTTTTAAAGTATACTATGACAAAAGGACGAAACAAAAATCAACAAATAACACATTACAAAACCTGATTTCATCACTGAAATTAAAACCGAAAACTTTATGTAGACCCACACGAACAAAAAAAAAAAAAAAAAAAACATTGCGAAAGCTACGCAACCTTATCCAGCGCCTTGAGGTTTGAAACATTCTCTGAACAACGCTGATTATTAAATTGCTTATGCTGCGATACGAAGCTTCCGTATAAAAAGGCAGGGCGAGAATATTGCAGAATTATATTGCATCAACATGGATCACAAAAAACAGCATGACTCTTTTGGTTCGATGTTAATCTAAACAAGTTCTGCAAAAGACCCATTGCATTCAAGTCTAAGCTCTCAGTGCAACCCAGACGCAGTGAAGTATTGCCTTTATCAACACGCCTGACGAAAAGACGTAAAAACGCACTCCCGTTCCACAAAACAGACTCATCGACTTAACCAATGACAAGCATATGTGCACAAAAACACACGCACACGCACACACAGACCATGTATATGGCTTCTAAACTTGTAATCAAGGCAGTTAAATAGAGGACGTTTTCGATTGACGTGTTGTTTTTCTCAGTTGACATAGACACAACCAAAACTTGTGTTCAAGCTCAACTTTGGTTTTCGAGTAAATACAATTTGTGTGTTTTCTATTATAACCTCTTTTTTCCCTTTTTTCCCTTCTTATTTACATTAAGATATAAAATCGACCAGCGGTCTGTAATTCATATTTTTTTCTTTGATACTTTACAACAAAGTGAATTAGATTGCTACACGTAGAGCTTACACAGAAAGGATGAAGACAGTCCAAAACATGGTCGCAAAGCATCCGATTTCCTTATTATCATCTCTTGCAAGTCCCTGATTTCAGCCGATTCGAATGTAATCACTCGATTGAATGGGTGTTATCAGTTGATAGATTTGGGCCAGTAGGGGCCTTCTGCGCCTACTGGTAGGCTCAGAAGGCTGTTATCATCCACCCACATGGTTAATCAGCTATAGATCACAAACAGTAGGGCTGCAGGCGGAAGTTAACAAGAATTATTTATTATTATTTATTAAATTTCCCATTAATTGTATTTTATTAACGTCTACCCCTACCGCAACCAAAACCGTGACAGTAATGTAAACAAAAACAGATCTGGAGTCTTCTCTATTATTAAGCCGATTAACCATGTAGATGGATGATAACAGCCTTCTGAGCCTAACAGAAGGCATAAAAGGCCCTTACTGGCCCATATCTATCAGCTGAAAACCACAGATAATGGCCATTCAATCGAAGCCGGTGCTGATTTTCTTATCGCCCGATTGCATTGTATGAAAAACACTACGTTACACACGACAGGATTTCTCCTTTTCACTTGTCAATTATGTTACGAGGCATCCAAAGCTGTACAGGGGTGGCTATGCTAGTAAATGTGTAAATCTATTCATAGCCATTGTTTTGAATTTAGTAGTGGTAAAGGTGCAGTCACATTAGCAATGTTTCAGCAAAAATCTGCAGTCAATAGTTTAGCAATGTTTAAAGTAGCGAAATTTGACCAATTGGAAGTGTTGACCAATTTGAAAATGAGCTTATCCTACATGGTAAACGTTGTTGCTTCGATGCTAATCTCTCATTAGCATGGTTCCCCATTGGAATTGTTCAATTCCACAAGCAAAAGTGACCCATTATCTCTCGGCAACAGAGTAAAGCAGTTCAAATAGAAGACACTTACAGTATAACCCTACTAGTTTTTGCAAATTTGACATTGGCCAACTTGAAAATGAAAGAAATCTGTGTGAGAAACTTTTGTTGGAAGTCTGGAGTCTGGTCTATGACAGGTGTAAAGACTACCATAACCTGATCTCACCAAGACATGTTCCTGAATTAGCATCTATCTTTATCCTGGAACAACATTCCAATTAGCCAATCAAATTTAATGGATATGTTTACTGTTTACATTAAGATTAAGCTTACAGTTAGGATTATGCACTTCTACATGATTGTTATCCAACTATTGTTCCCCTCTGATTTTGTGAATAATTTACATTATGGTTGGGTTTAGTTGAAGGGTATAGGTGTGGATTACATTTTCCAACAAAAATTATGTTCCAGGATTGCATAGTGCATAGGAACATCATGGCGTGCATTGCTGTGTAGCCCATGTCGGAAAGGCTGACTACCAAATCTAATGGGTCTAACTGAGTCTGGTCCAACTATGACAGGTGTAGAGACTACCTTAACCTGATCTCACCAAGTAGGACATGTTCTTGAATTAACATCTATGTTGATCCTAGAACAACATTTCAATCAGCCAATCAGATATACGGGATATGTTTACTGTTTATGTTAGGTTCAGGCTTACTGTTAGGATTATGCACTTTTACATGATTGTTATCCAACTATTATTGCCCTCTGATTTTGGGAATAATTTACAGTTGTGGTTGGGTTTAGGGGTAGGTGATAGGTATGCATTACATTTTCCAGGATTGCATCATGCATAGGAACATCATGGCTTGCATTGCTGTGTAGTCCATGTTGGAAAGGCTGACTATCAAATCTAATGGGTCTAACTGAGTCTGGTCCAACTATGACAGGTGTAGAGACTACCCTAACCTGATCTCACTAAGTAGGACATGTTCTTGAATTAACAGCTATGTTGATCCTGGAACAACATTCCAATTAGCCAATCAGATATACGGGATATGTTTACTGTTTATGTAAAGTTTAGACTTACAGTTACGATTATGCACTTCGACATGATTGTTATCCAACTATTATTCCCTATTAACTATTATTGAGTTTAGGGGTAGGCAATAGGTGTGGATTACATTTTCCTACAAAAATAATGTTCCAGGATCACATCATACTTGGCAAAACTATGACATGGATTGCTGTGTAGTCCTTGTTGGAAAGGCTGACTATCAAATCTCATAGGTCTAACTGAGTCTGGTCCAACTATGACAGGTGTAGAGACTACCCTAACCTGATTTCACCAAGTAGGACATGTTCCTAGATTAACATCTATGTTGATCCTGGAACAACACTCCAATAGGCCAATCAGATTTTAGGGATATGTTTGCTGTTTATGTTTAGTTTTAGTTTACGCTTAGGTTAATGCACTTCTACACGATTGTTATCCGACTATTATTCCCTTCTGATTTTGGCAATAATTTACCGGTATGGTTGGGATTGGGGGTAGGGAGTAGGTATAGATTACATTTTCCGACAAAAATGATGTCCCATTATTAACATAGACGTTAATCCAGGATCTCATCAAGGTGCTAGAGACTATTAAGCAGTACATTAGCAACATTTCAGCTTAATTTAGCAAGCAAAGTTTCACAAAATTGTCCTTCAAGCCAAGCCTACAAGCCAATTTTAGTCAGAGAGACATATCCAATCTGTAACCAAATCTGAGCAGGAACCACCAATTCAGTTGGATTACAATAGGTGAATTTTGTGTGATACAAGTGCAAACTGGAAAAATCTGTGTTTGGAACAGTATTATACTCTTGAGAAACTTTATATTGCAATTAATTTGTTTCTAGTCAAAAATGAATAAAGCACTGCTCACACAGAAGTCACTTTAAAACCTTAGCTTTCTGCTGGCCAGCATTGTGCATTTATATAAATACACAAAAAATGAGCCAGACCAGCTTAGAGAACATTTTTGTGCACATGAGATCTCCTGATTGCATGCATTCCCAGTCTCCTTGGCATTACAGGAGTGCAAGCCACCAGGAACATCATTGAAGCTGCAGAAAAAGCTCTCAGTGGATCAAGAGAGGAGATCCTCGGTGTACTATGCCACTTGGACACAAACTGGGGAATGTTGGGTCGCCAATTGAGAGCGTCTTAATAATCTTAGGCCCGAAACACCCCATTACCCAGGGTTCATCACTGATGATGTGTCCAAGTCACACCACCTGGTGTATTAAGAAAGCTTAATGAAATGAAGTAAAAGCAATCATGCAGATTACTCTCTGAAAGACTCAATTTTGCAAGTGGAATTTCACTGAGCAACAGTAAATGTGACTGCACCTGATGTCTGATCTCCCTCCCTTTGGTTCCTATTAAGGGTCACCCTACAAGTGCAAAAAAGAACAAATTGTATCGCAAAGAGTCTCTGAGATTTCATTGGACGCCAGAAGAGAGGCATAATCTGACTATGTCTGTATCATGATGATCTTGTATACAACCAAGGTCAACGTCAGGGATAGTTCCTGTAGCATGTTAAATTTAGGTTCGGTAAAGGTGCAGACACATTAGGAATGTTTCAGTGAAACTTTTGCAGTCTATTGTTTTCTTGTCAACATCATAGCGATGTATACCTACCTTAAATTTAAACTTAACTTTTTAGCCCTCACCTATTACCTCCATCTATGCAGATCTCCTTTGGAACGACCCAGTTTTACCCAAAAATTTTACAAAGCAATGACCCTTATATCTGTCAGATATCTCTACCATTGGTTCCAATGTAAAACCACCCAACATGCACAGAAAGACCAAACTGCGAAAAGTATTGGGTTGTGTAATGTTATAAGAGGTCTTAAGTTAGATTTAGGTCATGATGTTGGGTAACCAAAATTCAATGTCTAGCCAGCATCTATGGACAACATTATTTTGATGACGTTGATATTTGGTTCATTTTATGTGTTGGAAAGTGACCAAAATCCAAGGTCAAGCCATCATCATAAACAAACGTCATATCGATGTCAAATATTGACATTTATTCATCAGGTATGGCAACCAAAATTCGTCTGATAGATGTCATAGTGGTAAAGTCCACACAACATCAAGCTGTAACATCTTTAGGTGTTGATATTTGGTTGCGTTGGTAAAAGTGACCAAAATCCAATGTTCTGACGTCAACCCAATTTTCATATCCACCCAAAATGCAACATACCACAAGGTTAGGGTGCAACGACAATCTGACGTCATGTTGACATCCTGTGCCTGCTGGGTTGCAACAAGTCTTTAAAATTTGTTAAAGGCTGGACTAATGCCACAATCTGGCTATGAATTCTGCGTCATGACCATTCTTCTTTTGTAAAATCAAGCTCAGTATAACTATGTCAAGCATAGTGCCTGTAGGATGTTAAAACTTTTAGTGGTAAAAGTGTGGAGAAATTTTGTCTTGTCAACAGCGTAGAGAGAACAGCACATAACACACTTTCAAATCAAGCAAATATCTATCATTAGGTGTGAAAAATTCAAGCAAGCGATCATTTTGATTTCTTTTGCAATCACTCAATTACAAAATTTCACTGAGTGATTGTGAATCTGACTGCACCTTAAGTGCCTTACTTTGGTTCCAATGACAAACAACCCTATGTACCCAAACAACAGCAGTCTGTAACCCACAAAAACGTTTGTAAAGAATCTCAGAGAACTGAACCTTGACATGAATCCCAATCTGACTATGAAGTGTGTCTAGCAAAGCTCTCACATAGATCGCCGTGAAATTTCGCAGTCCATTCTTAATTGTCTACAGCATAGAGATGAAATGATGAAACTCGCACAGACCTCACTTTCAAATCAAGAAAATTCCTAAGTCATCTACAAACATCCTTTTTGACCGCACCCGAAATCCCATTTCATACAGATTTCTTTCAGAAGGACTCGATTTCACCAGCAAATATTCAAAGCAATAGTAAATGTGACTGCCCATGCAAGTCAGTCTGATCTTCCTCCCTTTGGTTCCTATATGAAAAGCCACCCTACGAACGAAAAAACAATACTGTGACTCACTAAAAGTTTAGCTGAGACTTCATTAGTAGTTACCCACAATGTCAAGTCTGTCTCATGAAGATCTTTCATGAGTACATCAAGCATAGTGTCTGTTAAATCAAGCTTCGGTAAAGATGCAGACACATTAGCCATATTTCAATGAAATTTCACACTCCTTTCTCCCTGGTCAAGAGTGTAGAAATGAAAAAAGCTCACGCAGACCTTACTTTAAAGTCAATCACATTCCCAATAGTCATTGAACTTGAAAGTGAGCACCATCTACTTAACACATTTTTGTTTTTTTTACCTCACCCAGTATCACAGTATCAGTATTCACACAGATTTCTTTCAGAAGGACTCAATCTCACCTGTGAAATCTCACTGAGCTACAGTAAATGTGACTGCACCTTAGGTTTATCTGATCTTCCTCCCTTTGGTTCCTATGAAAAGCCACCCTACGAGCTAAAAAAAACAAAAGCAAACTGTGACTCACAAAAAGTTTTGCAAAGAGTCTCAGAGTTCTCGTCAGAGGTTGGACGAAAGCCGGGATCTGGCTGTGAAGTCCGTCTCGGGAAGGCTGACTATTGAATCTTTCTTGCGTATAACCAAGTCCGGTCCTGCTACAGCAGGTGTAGTGCCTGTAGGAGCAGGAGGAGGAGGAGGTGTGGACGGGTAATTCCCAACCGCGGCTGCGGGCGCTGGGTGTGGCAGAACCATTCTCTGAAGAACTACGCTCCGGACACCGGACGGTCCTGGAACTGCAGGATGGGCTGCTTGTGGTGGGCCAATCGACGTTGAGGAAACACGGGTTGACGGTGGTGGGCTGGGCACGACGGGTGGAGCGCCATCCTGTGGGAGGCTGGGTTGTGAAGCCGATAAAGCTCTGGCATCCTGCGTCAGGCTGCCTGTTTGGTGCAACGGTTGGGTGCTCTTAATCGGGGTAGGTCGCGTTGGACTAGGAACGTGCTGCTGGATGAGAGACAACTGAGATCCTGAGCGTGCACCCATTGGACCACTCCCATACATAAAAGTCCGTCCACCTACTGCGCCTGCTGCCGCAAGAGGACTTTGCACAGGTGGACTGGCTATAGCAGAGGCTATTGGGAGAGACTGTTGGGGAGAAATTGCTATCGGGCTGGCAAGATTCTGCACCACCTGGAAGCGTCGGACCATCCTGGGCGACTGCAAGGACTGCATGCTTGGACCTACCATTGGGCCTCCGAACTGAGGACAGAAGCTCATGGCGACCGCCTGCTGTAGAGTGGCAATGGCAGAGCTGCCCTGTGATTGGCCAGGCGGTGCAAACATTCCACACGGGATGGAGGGTGTCATGGACATGGCCCGTGGCCGCTGCAGGTCAATCAGCTTCACCATCTCACGGTCGTACTTTACGATCTCCTGGATCATCTCATTCTCGCGGTTGTTCAGGATGCCGGAGTTTAGGTCATGCTGCACTTTGTTCATTAGGATGGAATTCTTTTTTCCTGTAACAAAAGAATAAAATCATTGGGAGTTTTTGTAAGTATATTTTTTCGTCCTATTGATTTACAGTAAGGTTCAAAGATGAGATGTCGCTAGGTAGCAGCTAACATGTTGTTAGGTGGTTGCAAAGGTGTTGCTAGGTTATTATTAAGGTGTTTTGAATTGTTGCTAAGTGGTTGCTAGGGTGTTCTAGGGCATTGCTAGGTGGTTGCTAAGGCATTGCTAGGTGGTTGCCTAGGTGTTCTAGGCAGTTGCTGAGGTGTTGCTAGATGGTTGCTAAGGTGTTACTAGGCAGTTGCTATGGTGTTGCCGAGCATTTGCTAAGGTGTTGCTAGGCTGTTGCTGAGGTGTTGTTAGGCAGTTGCTATAGTGTTGCTAGGCGGTTGCTAAGGTGTTACTAGGTAGTAGCTAAGGTGTTAGACGGTTGCTAAGGTGTTGCTAGGTTGTTATTAAGGTGTCATGAATTGTTGCTAAGTGGTTGCTAATGTGTTCTAGGTCATTGCTAGGTGGTTGCTAAGGCATTGCTAGATGGTTTCCTTGGTGTTCTAGGTGGTTGCTAAGGCATTACTAGGTGGTTGCTAAGGTTTTGCTAGGCGGTTGCTATGGTGTTGCTAGGTAGTAGTTAAGGTGTTGTTAGACGGTTGCTAAGGTGTTACTAGGCAGTTGCCATGGTGTTGCTAGCTAGTTGTTAAGGTGTTGCTAGGTAGTAGCTAAGGTGTTGTTAAACGGTTGCTAAGGTGATACTAGGCGGTTACTAGGGTGTTCTGAGTGGTTGCTAAGGTGTTGCTTGGTGGTTGCTAAGGTGTTGCTAGGTGGTTGCTAGGGTGTTCTGAGTAGCTTCTACGGTGTTGCTAGGTAGTTGTAAAGGTTTGCTAGGATGTTCTGAGTGGTTGATAGGTGGTTGCTAAGGCGTCGCTATTCAGTTTCTAAGCAGTTGTTAAGGTGTTGCTATGCAGTTGCTAACATAAATTAGCTTGTTTCTACTATGGATTTGCATTATGCTAGCATATTTCTATCATAAATTAGCACGTTATTAGCATAGTTCTAGTTTGAATTTGCATGTTGCTAGCATGTTTCTTGTATAAAAACATATTGTTAGCATAAATTAAAAATGACTTAGAATGTTGCTAGCATGTTTCTAATATAAACTAGCATATTGTTAGCATGAATTTAGTATAAATTAACATATTGCTAGCATGATTAGTATGTTTTAATGTTTCTAGTGTAGATTAGTATGTTTCTAGTATGGATTAGTATATTGCTAGAATGATTGTCAGTATGTTTTTTGTATAGATTGGTATGTCGTTAGTATGTTTATAGTATGGATTATTATATTGCTAGTACAGACTGGTATGTTGTTAGTGTGCCCAATGTAAAGTCAATGGAAGTTTTTTTTACAATGGAAGTCTATGAGACAGTTGCTAAGGTGCCGTAAGGGGTTGCTAGAGTGTGGCTAGTAAGTTGAAAGGTCATCAGTGTTTGGCAGATTGGTAGTCTGAGTTAAATGAGCCCAAACTTAAGCCTGTTCGACAGTCTGGTGCAAAGTTTTGAGGTCACAAAGTTTGGTCCAATGTTAAGTCAATGGGAATTTTCCGAATTTTCTGGGTCAAGTTTTGGGAAAACCGTAAGTCGGATCAGTTGGAAAAGATATAGCAACCCGAGTGAGAGCAGTTTGGAGGTTTGCTGTTAGTTTGGTGGTTGTAGTATGAACGGTCTAGGAGGAGATGCAAATAGAAATTAGTCTCAGAAGAGGAAGAATATTGCGTTTATGTAGGATAACAGTGGCTTTCTCAAGCCACCATAATAGTCATAAGGAACACCATAAATTATGTTTGTTGTATTGTCTGTAATAAAATAAATGTCAAAGATTATTTAGAAATCACTCCTTTCTTTTTTATTTGTGCTTTCCATACATCACAACTTTTTCTCATATGAGATTGCACATTATTAACTCTAACAATTTGAAACATGTATAATGAGGCATATCTTCTCATAATCCCCCACATAATGCAACAGCTGTAAGACCGTAAACAAAACAATAAGCGTTTATGAGAAGTCTTTATATTTGTCCCTGTTAAAGCACCGCCACCACAGTCATTAAAGACCTGCCTTCCTAATCAATTCATAGCCTTTAAAAGCACATTTATTGCAGTGAACTTCAAACACTGTCAAGTTTCTAAATCACCCGCTGAGAGCAATTTTCCTGTTATTATGCACAAAAGGACTGTGCGTAGTGTTTATTGAGCGCTAAGCAATGTGTCTGCTGAAAAAAGTAATGCACTGCAACGTTTTGAATGTACATTGTGTTCTTTAAAGTTTCCATTAAACAACAAAAACATATATAATAGATAACATTAATGAGCTGAAATAAAATTCCCCTGAAGTGTACAGAGAAACCCTTTAATGACTATATTTCTAACACATTTAAGTACACTTTTATTCCTCATAATAAATATCGACACTATTTTTTGCATTCTGAGCCAACTTTGGACCTATAGACCATTTCAATGTGGTCATGTCATAGGCCCATGAACATTTCCTGCTTGTTATCAAACTATTTCATAACTTTAACAAGAGGCAATTCAAGCATAACTTAGCTTTAAAACATTCATGCATTCATTTTCTTGTCGGCTAGTCCCTTTATTAATCCGGGGTCGCCACAGCGGAATGAACCGCCAACTTGTTCAGCACGTTTTTACGCAGCTGATGCCCTTCCAGCTACAACCCATCTCTGGGAGACATCCATACACATTCACTCACACACATACACTAGGGACAATTTAGTCTACCCAATTCACCTGTACCGCATGTGTTTGGACTGTGGGGAAAACCGGAGCACCCGGAGGAAACCCACACCAACACGGGGAGAACATGCAAACTCCACACAGAAATGCCAACTGGTCAAGCCAGTACTTGAACCAACGACCCTCTTGCTGTGAGGTGACAGTGCTAACCACTGTGTCGCCTATTTGAAATCATTGTTTTAATGTTTAATAGAAGAACACTTATTTTGATGTGTCGACTAGCATACTAAAAAAGCACATGCTAAGCACGTTACTAATGAAAATGCATTAAAATGCATGCAAACTTCATCATAACTTTATGAAATTTATGAACTAATGAAGTCTTTAAATGCACACCTTGTATTACTTTAATTTTTAAAATAATTTCACAGACAAGATATAAATGGTTTGTTTATATACATGGAAAAATATAGTAATATAGTAATATATAATATATATAGTAATATATAATATAGTAAATTCTAGTAACACTATAAATAGTGATTTTGAACCATGTATATTCTAGTAAAGTACTTGAACAAGTATTATGTGGTAATTTTAGCTAACTAATACAAACAAAAAGGACAAGATACTGTAGTTCTCTACAACTCCAGTAAACACACTACCTCACAAAGTCTTGTCGTATTAGTAACAACAAGTATTAACTTGAGTTTTAGTTGATCATTTGGTATCAGAAGTGGCTTATATGAAAGGCAAAGTCCTCTAGATGACGCTTATTTGACCACAATAAAATATGATCATGTCTTGATTTTGAATGATTTTATTAGGACTGTAAGGTCTGACTTTGCTGAGACAAAAGTCTTGTCACTGAACAGAAATAATGTCCAGTATAGAATATAAAGTCCTGCTGCAGTGGAGACAGAATGAATATTGTGTCTGACTCCATCATGAGCTTGGAGGACTGCATTCATACATCTCTGCAATGACTCAAATCACTGATTAATAAAGTCATCTGGAATGGCAAAGAAAGCGTTCCTGCAGAACTCCCAGAGCTCATCAAGACTCTTTGTGTTTATCTTCAATGCCTCCTCCTTCGTCTTAGCCCAGTCATGCTCAATAATGTTCATGTCTGGTGACTGGGCTGGCCAATCCTGGAGCACCTTCACCTTCTTTGCTTTCAGGAGCTTTGATCTGGAGGCTGAAGTATGAGAAGGAGCGCTATCCTGCTGGAGAATTGTCCCTCTCCTGTGGTTTGTAATGTAATGGGCAGCACAAATGTCTTGATACCTCAGGCTGTTGATGTTGCCATCCACTCTGCAGATCTCTCACACGCCCCCATACTGAATGTAACCCCAAACCATGATTTTTCCATCACCAAACTTGACAGATTTCTGTGAGAATCTTGGGTCCATGCAGGTTCTAATATCTTCCTCAGTATTTGTGAAGATTGGGATGCAGTTCAACAGATTAACTAGAAGTCAAGTTATTATTTGTTTCTCTTACAACTGGGATTGACGACAAGACTTTTGTCAGGTAGTGTATATTACCCTACAATACACTACAGTTTGCTGTAGTAAAACTAAAGAATACTACATTATTTATTAGTCTATCACTTAGCTAATTAATACTGAAGAATGCCATATCATTCATTAACAAGTGTTGTGAATTATATAATATATACAGTATAAAAAACTTTACTATACTAAAAACACTAGTATTAAAATAAAAGTTACTATAGTATTTTTTTTAATGTGGCTAAAGCCAACATCAAATTTACATTTACATTATTGCATATGCATTGCTTTTTCCAGTATCCTCTCCCACAAGCTGGACATCATCAATAAGTCAACACATCAGCTCTCGCAGTAATGGAGAGGCTGTGCGTAAAGCCTAAGCTCTCTTTAACCCTGAATAATCCTTTAAGGCCTGTAAATATTCAGAAGGTGTACGTTGTTTCTCTTACCCAAGCGGTCGAGTCGGTCAATGGCCACGGTCTCGAAGGCTCTCCTCATCATGGGATATTCCTCCAAAACCTCATTAAAGTTGTCCACCGAGAGCGAATACAGGCGACAGTAGGTCTCAGCCCGTACACTTGCTGTTCGCCGACCTCGAGTCAGCAGACAGATCTCTGAAACATAACAAAACAATAAAGAAAATGCATCTAAATTGGTATTTTCCAGACCAGTTAACACAGCACTGAGCACAAAAAAACATATAGTAGATATTTACACAAATACACTTCACTAAACATGTATGGACATCACCTATAACTGCAGGTTAACTATGTTTATATAGTATATAATAACTTTAACTGTTAAAAGCTATTAGTTAGCAGTTACTTATCAACTAATAAAGTTATGGTAACTTAATAACCTTCACTTTTCCAAATTTGATCATGTTGCACTAATGAACACCTTTTGTAAAGCTACTTTGAAACAATAGTTATTGTGAAAAGCACTATTAACTTCCATTGAAGAATATTGATGAGCTGAAATAAAATGCCTCTGAGGTTTGAAGAGAAAATACTTTAATGGCTATATTTCCTAACACATTTCAGTGCACTTTTCTTCTCCCATAACCACTACTGAGCTAATTTGGATCTAAAGATTTGCTTTAATTTCTCATGATACAGTCTTAAAATTATTAAAACTAAAGTATTGAATCAGAAACTTTCTAAAATATTTAACTTGTTTTCAATGTTACCATACTGTATATTTTAGTTTTTCTCAATTTACTGTATTGAACGATAAAAAATAAATAAATAAATAAAAAAGTATATATGGCCCAGCCAGAGCCCTGACTTAAACCCAAATGAGCATATATAAATGGCCCAGCCAGAGCCCTGAATGAAACCTAATTGAGCACACACACACACATATATATATATATATATATACATACATACATACACATTTAAAGTCAGAATTATTAGCCCCCTTTAGAATTTTCTTTTCTTTTTTAAATATTTCCCAAATGATGTGTAACAGAGCAAGAAAATATTCACAGTATGTCTGATAATATATTTTCTTCTGGAGAACAGCTTTTTTTTAATTTCAGCTATAAAAAAACTGTTTTTAATTCTTAAACATAATTTTAGAGACATAATTATTAGCCCCTTTAAGCTATATTTTTTATCAATAGTCTACAGAACAAACCACTGTTACAGAATAACTTGCCTAATTACCCTAACCTGCCTAGTTTACTTAATTAACCTAGTTAAGCCTTTAAATGTCACTTTAAGCTGTATAGAAGTGTCTTGAAAAAAAAATTGTCAAATATTTTACTGTCATCATGCCAAAGATAAAATAAATCAATAATTAGAAATGAGTTATTAAAACTGTTATGTTTATAAATGTATGGAAAAAATCTGCTCTTCGTTAAACAGAAATTGGGGAAAAAAATCTAATCACTCAGGGGATCTAATCACTCAGGGGGCTAATATATCTAATTATATATATATATATATATATATATATATATATATATATATATATATATATATATATATATATATATATATATATATACTTATTAAATGGCACAGTGCCAAATATAATTTACATAAATGCCCTTAAGTTCTTGTAGCATGTAAAGTTGCATTATGTTGGCGTGCTGCTCTAGAAAAATCAAAACACGTCTTCATCCAGCGAAAACTCTCTGACCTTTTCTAGACAGAAAGTCTCTTTAAATCCACTGAAAACTGAAACCCTGAAGAGTCCGTCATTGAACAGGGGATGAATTTAAACATCCGCCTGCAGAAAGTAATTAAACTTTATCGGCCTTCATTCAAAACTATGCGATTTGAATTCTTATTACTCGGCGGCGAGGATATTCCTGTGCTATGGAGCTCATCTGACATAAAATTGAAGCGTGAAACTATTACTGAGCTAAAATAGAGTGTGTGTTTTCAATAAGGTAAAGTGTACTGCAATATCTACACAGTAAGAGTGTGGCCAGAGGTGGCTGGTAACGAATTACATTTACTTCATTACATTTACTTGAGTATAGAGTATTGTAATTTGTATTTTTTGAGTACATTTAAAGATGTTGTACTCTTACTCAATATTAATAATAATAAAAGTAACTAGTTTTTTTAGAGTATTTTTTTATCTGATACTTTTTACTCTAAAGGCCGGCTCACCCTGTGAGATTTTTTTGTAATCCTGGGGTGCGTTTCCCAAACAATGACGTAACTCGCGGCTGAACTATCATACGATGTATTGTTTGGGAAAAGAACGATGTAGTAACAAGTGTTTCCCAAAACGCATAGTTTCTTTGTCGCAGATTCATCGTTTAAACCACGTTAGTTATAACGTATAACGCCCATAATGATGCTCTAAACTGGGTGGAGTAGCTACTTCTTTAGAGAAGAAGTACCCATAAGTTTTTTTGTGCAAAGTTTATTGTTTCACACGCATTTAAAATAAAATCCAATATTAGATTTGGTATAAACCTGCACTCGCTTTCCATATTAATTGAAATATATGTAAATGGTATATAAGGCTTATGTTTGCTTTACTAATATTATTGAGAAGTTGAACATTACATTCTCTACTAAAACATATCACTTACAAAAGCTAACATCTATTCTAATATCATATAAATCATATAAATAAATAAATAATGAGGCTATTTATTATAACATGAAATGTAATATTTATTATGTATTAGAAATAAAAAAATCATACTTTAATAATAATAATGATGATGATTAAAATAAATAAATAATTTCCTACTTAATAAATAAACAAATAAATAAATAATTAATAAACTAAATAAATAAACAATTTCCTACTTAATAATAATAATAATAATTATTATTATTATTATTATTATTATTATTATTAAGTAGGAATTTTTTTTTTTTTTTTTAAGTCTACTTTTACAATTTGACACATCTAAACCACTGCAGAAAGTTCCAACCAGCAGGCCCATGTCATATTCTGTACAGATACTTAATAAATAACCAACTATAAATTAAAAGAATTAACGTATNGCTTTTTGTTTTCACAAGCTTTGGAGACATAACATAAATTCCGCTTTTAAATAATAGGTCACCTATAGCTTTTGCCCTGAGGCTGTGTTCAAAATGACATCAATGTTTTCAAAGTGCACTGCGAAGGGAATGCAATTGCAAACATGAAGATATCTAAAGCTGAACTGTAAAAATAGTTTGAAAGCAAATTACACCTAAGAGAGATGACCTTAATGCTTTTTTTTTTTTAATAATTCCAACTTTGAATGTTAGAATGTTCTAAATGAATAGGGCATAGGGGGGATACGTGGGAATAGAACACATCCAGGAACTATGTTTCAAGCTACCGTTCAAGAGGTGTAGTTGTGAGTGCTCAAGTTTGCGACGCAGTTTGCGATTGTTCGTTGGAGCGATGGATTTGGGAAACGACAAATCAACAAACTATGTTTGTAACGACGAAACTTGCAACCTTAGTTGGCTAACGATGGTTTTGGGAAGCGCACCCCTGAACGATTGTAGCATGTCAGACTACATGAACAAAAACGACACTTTCACCCGACACTTTTCACTTTCATTCTAAAATGATTCCTCACAGTGAACGTTGTAGCGGCTATTGCACAAAGCGTGTCTCAATAATGAAACCAAGAAGAAAAAAAATTGTTTTGACATTTCCCCGCGGCCATATGAATTATCGAATGGATCCTATTGGTTCTTGGATTGATGCTTATCGTAGCTGTTTTCACACTGCAGGAAAGTGTATGAAATTTACTGGCACTGCCAGAAATTCATCGAAGGGAAAATCTGAACGAAACAGGTACTATGCGGCTGTCTGTGAACATGTCAAACCCAGGATCAAAGACCACAGATTTTAAGATTTCAGGAATCTTTTAGGATTTCCCAAATTTGTCTCAGATGCCAAAATCTTTGCTGAAATGTCACAGTGTGAGCAGGGCTTTACTTGAGTAAATGTTTCCTCAAGCAGTTTTTACTTGATTATAGAATGACTTCTACTTTTTAAATACATTAAAGGATTTTACTCTATATAATAATATATATAATAAAACAACTAGTAACCTGAGAATATTTTTCATCGGATACTTTTTTACCTTTTACTTGAGTACCTTTCAAGATTGTTACTTTCACTTGAGTAAAACTTTCCTCAAGTGCTTGTATTTTTACTTGAGTACAGAGCAAGGGTGTCCAAACTTGGTCCTGGAGGGCCAGTGTCCTGCTAAGTTTAGCTTCACCTCACTCCAACACACCTGCCACGAAGTTGCTAGTATATATAGTAAGCGCTTGATTAGCTCGTTTAGGTGTGTTTGATTAGGGTTGGAGCTAAACTCTTCAGGACACCGGCCCTCCAGGACCGAGTTTGGACACCCCTAGCATAGTGTTTAGTATCTTGTACTTTTTGAGTACATTTGAAGATGTGCACTTTAACTCTTACTCAATATAAATGACAAAAAAAGTAACTAGTATCTAGTAACTTGAGTAATTTTTTCCATCGGCTACTTTTTTACCCCTACTCAAGTAACTTTAAAAATTGTTACCCTTACATGAGCAAATGTTCCTCAAGTACTTGTACTTTTACGTGAGTATAGTAACTTGCACTTTGAGTAGATTTAAAGATGTGTACTTTTACTCGATGATAAAGATAATAATAAGATAATGAAAGTAACTAGTAATTAGTTATTTGAGTAATTTTTCATTGGTTACTTTTTTACTCCTACTTGAGTAATTAACAATTGTTACTTTTACTTGAGTTACATTTTTCTCAAGTACTTGTACTTTTACCTGAGTATAGAGTAACTTGTACTTTTTAGTGCATTTAAAGACTTTACTCAATATAAATAATAATGAAAGTAACTGATAACTTGAGTGTTTTATCTGATACTTTTTACTCTTACTCGAGTAAGATTGTTACCTTTACATGAGTAAATATTTCCTCAAGTACTTCTACTTTTACTTGAGTATAAAGTATAGTAACTTTTTGAGTAGAGTATAGTAACTTGAACTTTTACTTGAGTATAGAGTATAGTAACTTGTACTTTTACTTGAGTATAGAGTATAGTAACTTGTACTTTTACTTGAGTGTAGAGTATAGTAACTTGTACTTTTACTTGAGTATAGAGTATAGTAACTTGTACTTTTAC